ATTATAATTTTCATGTTATTTTTAGTTTTTGATCTTAATTTTCTTACAAAACCGGTCTTATTAGCTTTATTTTAATCAATATTAATATTATTTTCTTTAACATTTTTTTGATCTTAACAAAGTTTTCACACATTTGCGAAACTCAAGTAAATCCCACTTACTATGTTCCCAAGAAGGTTGGTCACTAGTTATCTAATCACTTTTTGTCTTAACCTGTGAGTCAACCAGGGGCTCTTGGAATTTCGCCATGTAAACAGTAAAAAACTTTGCACACTTTCTGCAGATTAAACAAAATTCCTAGACTATGACACACACACACACATACACATAGTTTAAACTCAGGTAAATATTTATTACCTTTATTCACACTGTGGTCACATTACGAAAACGTCACATGGAAGCTTTTCGTTTAATTTTGGGGATTTTCGATTATTTTTAAAGAAACTTTTCACGTTTTGTGATTTGAAACCGTATCCAGAATGTCGAATGAGAAAATGCCGGTTGATCGATCGCGAATCGTAATGATTTTCCGTTCACAGGCGTTCCGTTTTCCCGATACGAATGCGGTACGCTTGCGCGAGCTTTGAAGTGCGTTTCGAAACTGAGCGCAGAAAGCCAGAAAAGTGCCTCAGTGCTGGAGAGCAGAGAGTCGAGCGGTAAGTCTCCAAGTCGTTGAGCCAGCTGAGAGAGGAACTCTCCAAACATACCGGTTTACCAGCACTTCTCTGTCGCTCTGCTTCTCTTTCCCACTGATATGCGATCTCGGCACGGCGCTCGCCGCTTATCAGTTCCACTATCACTATCACTCTTTTTTTCAATTTGCGCCAAGGAAATTCATTCACGCTTCGTTGTCGTTGAATTTGTATTTGTTTTGGTATTCTTATACCTCTTAGTTTTGGAGTGAAAGGGTATGCTGTATCGGATGAAATTCTAAGAATTCACCAAAAGTGCATTTCAGTTAGGCCTTATAATCTATAAACTATAGTATAAAACTAGTGGTGAAAAGATCTTAACAAATAAATGCCCCTATTTACAGGATATCTTTCAGTCGATACACTGAAACTATCGGGTAACACTTGTGGATTTTGTATTTGTTTTTTCATGGGTTTTTGACTGATTGAGGTGCTGACTGCAGGAATCGTCGCTTATCGCGGTGTCAGTCCGTAATAGCAAACATAAAAGCCAGGTTAAGGGTCTGTTGTCTCACTTATACCACCGTTGAGGTCCAGACCCTACTTGATTTTCAGCTACCCGATGACGCAAGCGTACGTGCCGCTTGTGGCTCATTAACCCAAGAGATACTTTCCCCACACCATGGGGTTATCTTCCCGATAAGCGAGGCAGTTTTTGTAAGGATGTTTTCCCTCGAATTGGTGTCTGAGATTTGTGGAAATTACTTTCCAATTGAGTCATCATTTACACATATTTTGAGGGTCTAACAAAGGTTAAACAAAAGGAATGGAAGTAGAAAGGCATCCACAAAATAGTTGTCGAAGGTCGGAAAAGTTTTATTTTGCTTTCTCTCTCTATACATATAAAATTAGATAATATTCTGATTTAATTCTAGGTACGAATGTTTCCAGAACCCATTTATTTCCACCTCTATGAGCTCTCCACCTTTCTATAACTTTTATTGCAACGCTTCGAACTTCATTAACAAAATCATTCACTTCATTACCAACAATTCTGTTAGCTTGCCAGCCCATTAGCAATCACAATGCGGTTGCCCAAGCCACAAACATTTCGATAAGCGAAAGCCGGACACAGTTTCAATTACATTAGAATTAATCTACTCATTGGCAGAAAGGGAAATGTTGTTACCGCTGGCAGTTGACAACAGTAATAGTTTGTAATCGCCCAAATGTTCCAATGTTGGATCCGATCCCCGAAGGCCCTGAGTCGATTTCATATTGAGCCTACCCTGAAATGAGCTAATACCTTTGACACAATCTTGATTAATGGGTCACGATAAGGTCGAGAGCGGGACGAGGCAGAAGTTGAGCTACTTTGTTAAAGTTGTTCTTTAATATGTACGAGGAAATCTGTGCTAGACCAGAATCTAGAAATGACGTTTAATTGCAAACGTTTATTAGATAAGAAAGCCATAAATATTGTAAGTGATAAGATAAGATTGAAAAAATGAATTTTAATTTAGAACAGCGATTATCTATATTTTATATAGAATCTGTTTTCCCAATTTCATAGCTAACTTTTAAGCTCTTCAGCCTAACTATTTGTGGCACTTTCATTATCGCTATCTAAGTAACTAACTACAGGGATCAACTCATAAATATTGAAAGAGCAATTGCGAATTCAAATTCAAGTGCAACGTCGATTGTGGGAATCGTCGAGTCGCGTTTATCGAACACACAAAATGCATTCGCCTTCGCCGGTGCGTGCGGTGCAATTTTATGGGTCTCCTATCTGAATCTGCGACTGGGTCGCAGTCTCGAGATCCATTCCAATAAATAGTTGGACGTCCGAGGAGTCCATGCTGGGCCCACAGGCAACAAAGTTGCATTTGCAACTGCGTTCGGGATGGAGTTTCAGTTGGAGTCTGCACCGCGAATCCCTCAGATGTCGATACAGTTAAGCTTCTCTAAGAAGAAATTTCTTTTCTCAAAATGTAATTTTAAATTTAAGAAAGATTTATGTTTGGATGTCATTCTTATTAAGCTTTGTTAGAATTTAATATCATTTAATTCAAAAATAGAAACCTTATAAGTTTCCATTAACTGATACTTCAATTTTGAAGAGTTATTGAATAACTACTGTAGTTCCCAGCCGGTTTCGAGTCTGTTGTCCATTCATGGCAACTACCGTTTGGGTCTTTTGTTTGACTTTGTATTGCGGCCGTCAGTCCGCGTCTATTTGTAGATACAAGCCACCAACAACTGCAGCAACCTCTATCCTCCAACCTCCAGTCTCCATCCTCGAAACCCCCTTTCTTCGTCTTTGTGGATCTTTCTCTTGGCCGTGTGTATGCTTAGGCTCTTCGGTAGAAGAGGCTCATAGATATACCTGTTCGTAGACTTGCTCTTTGCTTGGCTTTGGCCACCGAGCTCGTTCTCGGCGCAATCTCAAGTGTTTTTTAAAAGTTTTCCAGCGATAAGCCATGTAACTTTATGGCCCATCCAGTCGCATATCGGATGCCTCGGCTGCAGCGGCTTCATCATCATCATCATCACAATCCATCCTAGTTCCCCATGGTCGTGTGGTGTGCTTCGCTTTGGTGTGATCATGATGTATATGATTCATGACTTTTCACTTTTCCTCACTAACACACGCATACGCACGACAAAGCAAAAGTCGCAAAATTACAGCACAATGGAGTGAAAATGGAAATCTATGAAAATTATTTGGGTTTTTCTTAAACATTAAGGAGTGGAGTTCTTAATTTTTCAAATAATTATCACGAGTCTTGATGTCCTAAGATATTTTTTATACTTTTGTAAACTTTAAACTCATTAACTTTTAGTATTAAATACCTTTGATTAAGTCTAATGTCTATAATTTTTAGTAATTTAAATATTTTATGTTTATTTATCATGTTAATTACCTAGGAAATACGGGAAACTAGACATGCCTTGTTAGATGTCGTCGTTTTCTTTTCAAATGCATCTCAACCAGACGGTGATGATTTCATCCTAAGAAATGCTTAACAACATTTTAATGACACCAGTTAGCAAAACCACCCACTATGCATATATTGACGGGGCTGACACTTAACCCTTTAGCATAAATTCTCATCAGCTTTGTGCCATTGGAGTGGCACGTAAATTACTGTGACATTGCACTTTGCAACATCATTTGGCAATTTGTTGCACACTTTTGTTGCTCTTGCTACGCGGTTCGCTGTCCCAGTTTATTGATTAGTTATACCCGTTACTTGCAGAGGAAAAAGGGTATATTGTGTTCGTTGATAAGAATGTAACAGGTAAGAAAAAAGCGTTTTAAAGTAAATATTCTTGATTAGTTGGGAGAAGGACGTTGCAAGGTCTCTCTTGCTTATTTTAAGTAAAAGTTGGATTAACAGAGTAATAGGTATCAGATAGTTGCTGCTCTTCCTTGCTTTAAATTAAAATAGAAGTCAACGGCGCGAGCATAAATCTTGGCCAATTTTCTTATTAAAAACTGTCAATGTCAGCGAGTTTTCACCCCGAGAACCTACTCCACGGCCGACTTGGTCGTATGCTAACTAAATTGGGAGATGGATATGCGCGGTGGATATATCCATTTGGATGATTTATGACCTGGGCTGGCTTGTTAAACATCTGTGTGAAATGGGCAATGTCTGGCCACTTGTTTGGCTTTCACTGGCTTTGTTTACTTTATTGCCAATCGAATTGTATACACTAAAAAAAAACAAATTGTATTCAAAAAGGAGTAACAATTTGTAGGAAGATATTCTTATTCAACTTGAAACTAATCCCCTTTTTATACGAAATGTCTTAGAACGCTTTCCCATAACCTTAAACAACTTTTTCCCTCAGTGTATAGAAATTTCCCCACGGCCAATGGAAGTTTGTTTAGTTTTTTCGGCCGAGGATACGGCTGATGATGTAGCAGTTAAGGAGATTGGGGATTTTAGGGGACTTGGGTAGTGAGCTGGGAAGTGGAAGTGCTGGGGGTCAGCCGCCGCCTCGCGGGCTGCCTTTCTAATGGCGAGCACAGCGAAATGGGTCCGCTGCGAATGGGTCATTAAAACGGCCTGCGCCTGTTTGCATGTCCGGTAATGAAGGATTGTAAATGAGTTTAATACCCTGGATCCATTGATGGATTGACTTTCCAGAAAGAAGAAATCAGCAGAGAAATCGCCAAAGTGATCAATATAAATGCCGACTTTTTGTTTACAATTTGCAGTTAATGAAGTAGTTTCTGGTTTTATAGGCCCCACCTCAAATTAAGGTCAAAACTAAAATTTAATGATCTCGGATTATTTTCCCATGTAATGATGATTGGTAAGATCTTGCTATTAAATGGGGACTCTTAGTACTTACCACTTTCGGCGGCACTCAAACATTTAGCGGCCATTTCCTCATTGAGCTCCTCGGCGGGATTCCCATCGCCGGAGTCCAAAACACAGCTAACACTGGCCGATCCCCAGTCAAGAGCACTCACGCCATCGCTGGACATCATGGAAATATCCATGGGAGGCACTGAAGTTCCCCGCAGGGTGCTAGTTCCACTAATTCCACCGCTACCCAGATCACCACCACCCAACGAGGAGTACTTAAGATCCAGTGAGGAGTTCATGGATCCTCCATACAATGAACTGGTGAGAGAGGCGCAAGTGGAATCGAAACTCCGATTGCTGGCTCGTCGCTTTTCCGGTGTGGCATAAACGGGCTCCGTCTCCTTTCTGGGCGTCACACACTCGGAATAACCCGGCGTAGCAGTCGAGGACACCTCACTCGTCAAGGAACCATTCAGAGTTCCATAAACCGAGGTCATCATGATGTCGTTGCGATTGAAACTTGGCTGCCAGAAGTCCTCCTCCACATTGCCAGAGTCCACCAGATCCGAGGACTCCTCATCTTCATCCGGCTCCTGCAATTGCTCCTCGGCCACTAGTTCATCGAGATAATCAGCCTCCAAAAGTCGCGATTCATCAATCATGGCGATGGTATCATCCAAATTCTCCAGGCCCTCCTCTTCACTTCCCGACTCGTCCTGCTCTTCGTTGGCATTCAACTTCTGAAAGGTCTCATCCGCCTGCTGCATCATATCGTAGGCATGTGGAATAGATGAACCGTGCAGCGAGTCCGAGTCATTCTCTTCGATGCAGGACAGATGACGGGTGCGAAAGCCATAGACAATGCCATTGGCCATCACCTTGGGCGGTGGGTTTATCGGCAGCGGGGGCGTTGGCAGCTCTAACTGTTCGCCCTCCATTGGGAGTGGCAGCTGCTGCAGCATGGGCATGCTGTAAAATATGAACAATTTTTTAGAAATATTAGAAAAAATAAGAATAATTAATGCATACATTAATTTATAAGCGAAAAAGTTGTAATTAAATTTAAGTTTTTTGTAATATTAAAGAAAAACCTCAAAAAAGTTTAGTATTAGCCAACTATGTAGATATCAAGATCTGCCTTTGACCTCCCCCTCTTCCCAAATACCATTACAGTAGCTTCTCCAAACATCACTGTACCTAACTAATGCCCCACATTAAACATAATTTGACATATGTAATTTTCCCGCTGTCTTGACTTTAACGATCCTCCATAAAGGCGCACTCGGATATATGGATTCCAGCGGAAATGAGTTTAGATCAGCTCAGTTCGGTGGAAGATAATAACACGGAGAAAAACTTGACTATGTTTTTAGCTTAAGATTCCGTTTCTATATAATCTTATATAAGAATAATATAGAACACAGATTGTGGACAAAAGGTAAGATGAAATCACAGAAATATAGTCAATAATTTTGAAATAAACATGAAATGCTTGAAAAAAATCATAATTTATTGTACTAAAAACCCAAATTTTTGTATCAGTTTTCTGTTTCAAATTTCTTCCTGTGTAGATGCATCTTGAGGTGCTAGCTTGTGCTCGAAAGCGATAAGCCCGGACAACTTTAATGCCACTTAATGCCCGGCTAACAGTAGGACGTGAAATTGTCCCAACATCAATCTCCAGTACCAGCGGTTCCCACATGTGAGGTGGTAGGGCTGTATGGAGTACACAGTTCTGAAGACGGAAGTGTCCCCCAAACGATAGACAACAACAACAACAACGACTTCCCCTCGGTTTTATGGCCACATGCGCATCTCGCTCACATTTGGTGCGCGTGCGTATCTTTGTCTATCTTTTTGTGTTCCAAGTGTGAGGTTGAGGGTGCCCCCTGCAGCGATTCTGCTGATGTCTTCAGCTGCTTCTTCTTCGGAGCAAGGAACTCCAAGTACAGTGGAAATTACATAACATGAATTTGCTTGAATTATGCAAGGATTTCAATAGAGTTACTGTCCTTATAGATTAGTATAAGTTTATGAACTGTAAAACCTTTTTTTTTTTAGATTGTATTTAAGGACATGAAAAATCTACATTTATTTCCAAGTTTTAAGTATTTCTTAGTATAGCTTGACTGTACTTCTTCTGCAATGTCGGCGGCCTCTTGACATATCCATTCCCCACCCCTGCTCCTCCTGATTCTCCCCTCGAGTAGGTGTTGCAATAGTTATTGTTGCTGCTGCTGCTGCTGTTGCTGTCCCCCCTTTCCATTCCATTATTTCCAATTCGCTGGGGAAAAACTAACGTTTGGCTTGTGCCACTGCCACTGGAAGTTGACTTTGCCAGTGCAAAGTTTTAAATAAACATTGCCATCGGTTTGTTTGAGGGTAAATTTGTCTTTAGCGGGCACAGAACTTAACTTTTAGTTTGCTGAGGTTTGGCGAATATTTGATTTTCCTTTTAATGTTACACTAATAGTTCGAGGTTTAATTTTATAAGTATTAATAGAGTTATTTGATTATAAATATTTTTTCTCAAATATATTTAATCTAAATTTTTGATTGAACATAAACTTTTGTATTACATTTATAGGTTCTTAAACCTTTTAAGCCCCAAAAGCTTTTCTTTTCATTGCTTTTAAATAACATTCCTTATTTTGAGTCTCAAAAAAAAATCTCTTAGTTATAGTTTTCACTAAATTAGTAATATTTAATCATTAAATATATAATAAAATAATAATATTTATCCAAAAACTTCCCCTCTGATATCTTTTCGCAGTGTAGATTTTCCACAAAACTAATGCAACAAACAAATTACTTGAGGCGACGAAAAACTACACACATCCCAAAGCGGTACGAAAATAGATCGGGCAAACGATCGTCGGAGGAAAACTAAGCGGCGCGACGTGGTTGCATTTGTTGTTGTTGTTTGTCGTGCGCCAAGGGGCGTGGAATAGGGGGTATTCAGGATCCCCAGCAAACTGCATTAAACTACTTTCCGTGCAGTTTATTGCTTCGTCTGCTTGCGTTTCTACTTTTAGCTATTTCATTTCTTAGCCCTTGTGTGTGTATGAGTGCGGAGTATCTGTGAGAATCTTGAACTTGTGTGTGCTTCTTTCACTCTTTTTTTATTCCTGTTTTATTCTTTTGTGTTGTTTACATTTCGACAGCCTCTTTTTTGTTGTTGTGTTAATACTCTCATTCTGTAGCCAATGGGCGCCCCATCGAACATGCGACATTTTTCAGTTGGTTCCCAATTTAAATTCAGCTGCCTTTGTTTCGGCTCGCCGCTCGCTCCAGACGCATTTCCACATTTTCACTTAAATGCTCTGGGATGTGGTCACCGAACGATGCTCCCTTTTTAGGACCCGATCCGCATTCGGTGAGATATAGCACATTCCAAACAGCCAACTTAGCCGACATCGAATTACTTTGGCATTACTCATTTCAGACGATTATATTGAGTTTGAATAGTGGATGAAAGTTAGGGGTAGGACATGCTTACTTCTTTTTAGAACTTAGAAAGTTATGGCTTGAAAGTTATGGATTGTTAGTGGTTAACTTGGTTAAATATGTTTCCGGTATATCGAAATGTTGTTAAGTTACTTAACCATTTTTATATTAAAAATGCGATTTCCTATAGTTGTTAACCATTTTTATAGATTTTTAATTATGAATTAACCCGAATAACCTTAAAAGTATGCTATATAATTTATATAAAAATATTTTAAACTTTCAAGACAAACCTTTTCTGGATGTAGGAACTTCTCTGTTTATAAAAAATGTATAAATTCTAATTGGAACAAACTGGAAATTAAACTATTCACAAATCCAAATTTATCTATTGGATTTTGATTAATATTTAGTTTAGGAACTTTTCGCAATCACTGTTCAAGGTTTTACAAAATATAATGCCAATTTCCGAATGATTATGTATTAACATTCACATCCACTTTCACTTTCTCACTGATAATCCAATGTGGCAATTAATCCGATTGGCGCTGCCGTATCCGTATCTTTTGTCCGCCGTAACCGAAACCGTATCCGTACCGAACGCGCGCTGGAATGCAATTGAGACGAGCGGATCGCCGAACTGGCGGCAACTGCATCCGATGGACGTTGGAATGGAATATCAGAAGTGAGGCAGCGCAGCCGCAACAGCCCTCGGCAACAGGAGGATATATATATATGCATAGATACTCAGATACATCCGTGCATTCGGATGCACTACGTGTATCTGCCCCCGATGCTAACTAGACGGAGAGTCAAAGATGCGGCTAAAAATAGTAGCGGGCAGAACGTGCAGTCAGCGCCGGTCCATCACTTTTGTTAGATTCCGTTTCCAGAACTAAGTTGTCCAGTCAGATATTTTATAGCCAAATCTAGAGGAGTAAAACGTTTTTTTTTAGGTTTTTTTTTGACAAATTCTTTTTTTTATATAATGGAAAGTAGATTAGTTAAAATTTAATTTTATTTAAATAAAATTAAATATTTAATCTAATTTAGCTAATATATTGGGCATCTCTAGTACAAAAAGCAGACGCAGCGTCTGTTTTCGCTGCACCCCGCGAAGCTGACTCGGTTTCTAATGGGATGTGCCCTAAGGGAAAGTTGTCGGTGGAAGGGGAGTCAAGGGGATTGGGATGGCAGTCGCCCAAAGTTTGCCAGCGGAACCAGAGTGTCGCTTGCTTGGTTGCCATTTAATTGCACTGCGATCTTGGCTGTCGGACTTTAGTCAATGTCTAGGCGATAGAATTCGTTTGCCTCGAAAGTATCTTTTAAAATATAATATATATATTCTAGATCTAACAACTTTACGAAATACACATCCTTTTATTCGATGTCATAGATTCCTTATAGATTTATGATAAACTTCAACTTGAAGTAGTCAAAGATAGCAAACTTACCTAGTTGGATTAGCATAGGTCCTGTGATGACTGTACTCGGCATCCAGAACCACCTCAACCACAACCCCAATATCACGATCCTGAGCCCAAGTTCATTGCACCTAGGGTGGAGATGGGGTGTCACCCCAACGGCAACAAGTCTGCCATGCAGGATTGAATACAATTGCAGTTCGTTGATCCCGCGGGCCAAGGATGTGGCGAGGTGAGCACATGGGGCTGGCAAACTATATGGATCTATGCGACGGAAATGGACTAATTTTTCATGTTTTGAAATTGGATGACAGCAACAGGAGGACGCACAGCGACGCATGCGCAGAGCGGTGGAGTTTGTTCACCTCGCGGATCGAAGATACAAGATGCATCCGTGTACTAAGTAGTTATAGTTACGCACGGATTGTATTACACGAAAGATGAACGCTTCGCTGGAATTGCTTTTCCTTGGTCCCCCAGTTTTTGTTTTTTTGGGTTGATTTTTCCTAGCAACTGTTACAATTTGAGGGCTTTCTCTGTATTTATCTTTTGCCGCTTTAATATGACTTCCACTTTCACTGCGCCACTGCAGTTCTTTCCCTTGTCGTTTGAATGATTTGTGACACCTTTCTGATGACTTCTAATGGTGCGCCTGCGCGCCAAATCCTCTTAATCTTGGGAGATCATCATGAGCACTCCTCCATCTGCAGTGGCTTTTTTGATAAATTATTGTGGGAATCCGCATAAATTGTGGAAATTGTGTGGGATCAATAGAATTTATTGTTTAATTAAATAAAATAATATATTTCTCAGTTAGTTACAGAACCAAAAACTCAATAAAGTCCATTGTATATATGTATTTGTATATATTTTAATTAAATATTAATATTATACTTTGCTTTAAGATGATTTAAAAAATATATAAAAACCTATATTTTCTATCTGTACATAAATGTTTGTTATATAAAATAAACAGAAGTAAAAATTACATTTGTAAGCTATACAGTGGCGCCAAAAAAAAAGTGTATTTTGTTCGTTTGGTGAACTACGGTTATTGGTTGCAGTCTTTACTGGCCGTTGGCTTTTGTATTGACTAACGTGGATCTTAACCTGAGATATTTGACACTCAGCAATTTTAGCTCCTTTATAAAGTATGTTTTCGTTTATCCCCATTTGATTGGTAAATTCTTTAAGATTGAACATACCAAAGGGGCCGGATATTTTCCTAAATTGCATACTAAATTAAATTATTTTAAACACATTTTTATTTTATTTTGATCTCAATTAATCTAAATCAAAATACGATCGTCACAATGATGTGTTGATTTCCCTTAATAATAATCATAGGAATAAAAGCCGCGATTTATGTTATGTCCCAAAGATTAAATAATGTTCTTTATTTTTGGTTTTGATGCTTTATATTCTTTAGATTTTTTTGCAAATAAACTTAAATTTTCTATTACAATCTGTCCTCTCGATGTTGCCGTTTTTCAAAAAATTGCAGCCCAAAAAATTGTCACGGCCTTCCACCCTCCACCCTTCACCCCTACGAATTATTTTCTTTTAAACGATTTGCTACGAGATCATGTAAAAGTTGGGTTCGGAAATATGCCATAGTACTTAATCGGACTTTACAAAAGACATTTGCTGACTCCCAAGACCTATACATGTCGTAAATTTCAAATACTCTTTCATTATCAAAATCTAAAACTAAGGGCTGATGTTGGTCCCAAGGATCTTTCTTTTCGCCACTATCGGTTTTCGAGCCTTCCAACGCCATTGCCTGCTGGCGCTCCAACATGTCCAACCTCTTTTCTTTTTTCTGGAATAGGTCGATCCTGTTTACTATCTCCTGCAAGTCCTCCTTATTTGTGCCCTTGATAAAGTCTTGCAATGATGCTATCCTGCTTTCTATAGTCGTCACTAGCTCATCCTGCTTTCTTTCGATCTTTTCCAATTTTTCTTGGTTCTGAAGAAGTGCATCAGCTTGGAGTTTCAACTGCGACCGGAGGTTGGCCATGTGATCAAATAATGGACGAAGCGATGCTTGGCAGAATGCCCCACACTGGTTTGGAGCATCCTCTAGCATACAGACAGAAGACGTGTCCTGAGATTTGTACTGAGATCTGGACACTGGGCACAGATTTATCACAAGAAAGGCGTACCATAAGTAAATGAACGATCTTGACATTTTCAGAGTTGAGGACTGCTCAAGTCGGATGCTTCCAGTTGACTAAATTATAATTTCATTTCGGACTCTGTAAGCCCCTTTAAGGGTCTGGATAAGGTTTCATACTTAATGTATAGCTGTGGAGAGGGTATAATGAGTATGACGAATAAGGATGTTCTTTCAAAAAAAGAAGCCTAATGAATTAAATATTTACTCGTGACGGGTACTTTACAGCCGAACCACAGCTTAAAGGTTTTTATCGGCATTTCGTTCCATTATTGGGAACCGATATTATTATTTTTAATCTGACTTTTGGTTGGTATCGGGTTTGCATTGGAATTATTAAAAAAATTCTTCACATATTAAAAATAAATTTCGATTTCTTTCCTTTTGATAAAAAACATTTTCACAATCACTTTTAAACCAAGCTCTTCGGCATTTCTCTCAAATCATGGAATGCAAAATGTTTAAGAAAGATAAAATATTTCCTCAAACAATCTGATGTTGATTCCTAAATATTTATTTACCCAAGAAAGGAAACTTGTTAAAGACAAACAAATGTTTTATTTTTTTATTTAAAAAAGTTTATTCTAAAGGTTTATCAAACTTTTGAAAAATGTAATTCTCAACCTACAGCAGCTTTAATTTAAAGGTGTATATTGTTCGTTTTCTAAACTGCGATTATTGGTTGCAGTCTTTGCTGAACGTTTGCTTGTGTATTGCCTAATGTGGATCTTGACCTGAGATATTGGGCACTCAGCCGTTTTAGCTCCGATAACCTATTATCCCATTTCATTCGTGAAGTTCATTAAAACCGAAACTAATAAAAGTTCAATTTCTATTATTTTAATCTAAAATCAAAATAAGATCGTCACAATTTTGTTTTATTTTTTTTATTAAAAAGACAATTATAATATAGTAATAAACAGCCGTATTTTATGGTATGTTCCAAGCATTAAACATTTTCTTTATTTTAGGTTTTGATGATTTATAATTTGTTTTTGGCAAATAAAATTTATATGTATATTACAATCTTCCACCACGAATTCGCCGTTTTTCAAAGAAATGCTTTGTTTATTATTGCCGTGGTATTTGAGCCAAATTATTTTGTCTTGCTGGTCAGAACCCACCCAGTAAGGGAAATCCTCCTTTAAGTTATGTTTTACGATAGATAGATCCTGTTCGCTTAGGGCAAATGCCAGGGTACTGGATCGGGCATTACAAAACTTTTTTGCTGAGTTGCAAGACATATAAATGTCGTCGTAAATTTCAAAGTGTTTATCACCAAGAACTAAAAGCTTGTGCGGACTCTGCTCCCGTAGATATACGATTTCAGTCTTTAAAGCCACTAGATCGGCTTTCAAATCTTTCACAGCCTCTGACTGCTGGCGCTCCATTCTGCTTAATATCGCCTGAAAGTCCCGTACATTTCTGCCCTTGATAAAGCCTTGCAATGATGCTGTCCTGTTTTCTATAGTCCTGGCTCTTTATATTCGAAACATAGCTATGGTTATATGCAAAGTTTAAAGGTTTTTATCAGGACTTCAGATATTGTTGTGAATTTTTAAGCTGACTTTTGGCTTTCCGGTGATTGTAATGGTCAGAATTGGGTTTGTGTTGGAATGTTTAAAAATAATTCTTGACACATAAATTTTGATTTCTTTGCTTTTAATAGGAAATATTATTCATCATGGAATGCAAGATGTTTAAGAAAGGGAAAATATTTCGTAAGACAAGCTGATGCTGATTCTTAAATATTTAATTTCCCAAGAAAAGAAACGCTTTTAGGCCAAGAAAATGGTTTTCTTTGAAAAGTTTTCCAAACACACCTTGTTAATGTTCTTATTTTTGTTTACTTTGTATTCTAATTTATATAATTATATTAGGTTCTTCCAGCGAACCAATGTTCTACAGAAGTGTCAAGTTTATTAAACTTTTGTAAAATGAAAATTCTCAACCTAATGAATAATCGTTTTCCATATTATTCACCGGCCCTTGATCCAGGTCATAGTCGTGTATCAACTCTTTCGGCGGCTGCTTCTCGACACTGTGAATATTTTGTATTGTCTTCCTCGAGGATGTCGTCTTTCTTTTTATAGCAGACTGCTGATGCTCCTCTATTCGGTTTAATATGGCCTGAATGTCCTGTATATTTCTGCCCTTGATAAAGTCCTGCAACGATGCTATCCTGCTTTCTAAAGTCGTCACTAGCTTATCCTGCTTTTTTTCGATCTTTTCCAATTTTTCTTGGTTCTGAAGAAGTGCATCAGCTTGGAGTTTCAACTGCGACCGGAGGTTGGCCATGTGATAAAATATTGGACGCAGCGATGCTTGACAGAATGCCCCACACTGAATGGGGGCATCCTTCAGCAGACAGACAGAAGACGTGTCCTTGGACCTGGACACTCGGCATTGATATACCACAAGAAAGGCGTACAATAAGTAATTTAATGATCTTGACATTTTCGGGGCTAGAATCTTCTTGCTTCGAATGAGTTAAACGAACTGAGTGTTGCTTTCGGGCTGAACCAAAGAATGTGTTGCCTTCTGCCATCTTCATCTTGAAGAGTATATTAAGGAGTAACCGGCTTCGACAGGAAATTGTGATACGTACTATCGGGTTTGGGAATTTTCTTTCCTTTATGAGTTTAATTTGGGAATTTTTCGCTAAATTAGTCAAAAAGCGTATGACCTTGGTTAGTAAAACTGTATTTATTTTATCGGCTTATTTATCTTTACTTTACAGCATCGACTATGTCAGTTCGCACTCTATACAATATGATAAATTAAATTTATAATATTACAAATAACTATAATTAAACATTTAATCTTTCGCTGCATGGCATTAATTTGGGTAATTTAAGCAAATTTTCTAAACAAATATTAACGGTCAGTCTCGCTCGTTGGGGCCATATCATAAAAACTAAAACGAATTTTACAACAATTTCAAATGACGTTATCTACAATACAAAATGCGAAAATGAATATTTAAATCAAACTAAAATACTTTTAAAACTTAACCCTAGATAGACTAAATGCTTAATCAGCTACATATTACAAGCTAAAACTACTTAGGTCCATCAACTACCTCAATTAGCTTAACTGAAAACGACTCAATGTGAGTCAAGAAAGGAACATTTTGCATCTGCATCGCGATTCGGTGCAAAAACTTTTAAACTTTTGTTTATCGTGTGTAATCGTTTCCAAAGACATGTCCAAATCAAAAAAAAATAATAATAAAGATGGCACTTGGTGGTGACGAGAATGGCAGCTTTCCTAGAACTTCTCGTCATCGATGTTGCTCCGGCAATTATTCAAAGCCGTTTGTCGTTTCAGCGTTCCCGTTTCGCAATCGTTATAGGTTTTGGCCAAAACTTTGGGCGTATTATTGTGATGCATATTGTTGCGATTGAGTGTTCCATTGCCATTACCCAAGTTACTAGTCTTGGCCGGCATTCGGAAGCTGGACTGCCGCTTAGGTCGCTGGTCATAGTACTAAAAGTGAAGAAATTAGTCTCAAAATTAAACTATTTCTTAGTTTATTACGTACATCCTTGGTGGGCAGGCTGGAATACTGATTGGGATACGTGTCGAAGCTGGCTGTTGTTGTGGTGGTTTTGTTCAAGGCCTCCTCGGCACTGAGCAGGAATCGTTTCTTGGCAAATCGATAGGTGGCCAGGCAGCAGGCCACAGTAAACAGCAGGCAAACGAAGATCACGATGGTCACAGTAGCAGATGAGGCTGTCTGGGTTTCTGCAGCATTAAGAATTATAAATTAGCTTTTATATTTTAATAAAATATATAAGTTAGAACTGACCATTGCATTCATTTGGAACACAGGCGGTCTTCTCGAACTCGGCACCACGGCACTCCATCGAACCGGGCTGTTCCACCAGGCAGCGGCGATGCCTCAGTCGGATGCCATCGCTAGAACAAGCGGACCACTCACTCCAGACACTCCAGCCGAGGAAATCTAAGGGGAAATTAAAGATATAGTATTTGGTAAATAGTCAAGAAGAACTACCTTAATGACTCACCTTCGCAAGGCACCATTTCACACTTCTGCTCCTCGAGAGCACGGCCCTGGCAGAGCCTTTCGTGACCCGAAAGGCAACGTCGTGTCCTTCGGCGTAGTCCCAGACCGCAGGTGACCGAACAGGCAGACCACTCCGACCAGCAGCCCCACTCTCCGTGTTCCACCTCGTTGTCCAGACTGTTACTGCCAAGTTGTTGGTCATCCGCAGGACAGGCTTGCAGATTGCAGACACGACTCTGGCTAGTGCCACGTCCCCGTTGGCGTTGCTGGGTTCCACCACCACAACTGACACTGCACGGTGACCAGTCGGCCGCATCCGAATCCTGTGTATCGTGATCACCTTGCCGCTGGCAGGTTCCATCTGCATGACAATTACGTGACTCCTCCCTGGCCAAGCCAACTCTTACGGAGCTTGCATCCGGACTGGTGGCACGGCAGACATAACGGAACCGACGCTCCGTGTGCGGTTCACTTGAGCTCCCATTTCCGGTCACCGTTAGCCACGGCGTCCAGGCAGTTAGTTTCCGCACCTCCTGACAGCTCTGCATGTTGCACTCTTCGTAATCCAACCGACAACCCGGACACTCCATTCCGCCATTTAACGGAGCCGGATCATTACACTCACGTCGACGCATCCGAAAACCACCACCGCACTGGGCACTACACTCACTCCACTCGCCCCACGGTCCCCAACCGCCGTCCACGGACTGAGGCTTGGCCACCGGACACGGTGGCAAGTGGCGACAGTACATCTCTGACTGCTCCGAGCCGACACAGGTACGTCCACCAAAAGCCGGACGGGGATTTCCACAAGTTCGTCGTCGAATCTTAACGGCAATGCCGCAAGTCTGAGAGCATGGGGACCATGCTGACCACTCTGTCCAGCCGCCATGCTGTGTGCAGTTGGAAACTTGAGTGCTGAAAATTGAAAAATTTTATTGTTTAATTAATAATTACTTTAAACATTTTTCAATCTTGCACCCACCTGATTCCTTCGCAAGTGGCTCCTCCATGTTGCGGCTGAGGATTATTGCAACTTCGCTGCCGGCACTGGCAATTGCTGTCCGGCTGCTCGCTCTGTTGGCAAACGGCCCAGGAGCTCCAAGTGGACCATCCACCATCGATGGGGGCATTCAATACCGGACATGTGATCTGTGGCGCCTGATGCCAGTGCTGCAAAACAGAGGAGTCCTGTGGCTGGGGCATGCATCGCTCCACCAGCTCGTTCCAGCCGCAGTAAGGATCCATGGAATTGAGGCAACTAGACTGTGAAACATGACGACTGCAGTGCTGGGCGGGAATTCGGGTAAGGGCTAGATCTGTGCCCAAATACAGAGAATCGGTGACCTTCAAGTAGGCCATATTCAACAGAGCACTGCTCCCAGTATCGTCTGCCTGCCAAAACTCCACCAGACATGTCTGTACTCCTTCGCTGCCATACTTCACGGATAACTTCTTGATATGATTCCCACTGCTGGCCACAAAGAGTACATGAATCTGTTCAGTCTTTGTATTTATGATGTCCAATGCCAGGCGGCCAAACTGTTCCAGCTTGGAGTGGTACAACGGTTGGGCATCAATTGGCTGCACTGCCTCATCCATCAGCTGATAGCGCGAACTCTCCAGCCAGTGGCCAAAATTACTCTTTCCGCACTGGAACTGACTGCGCTGATTGGTGTTCACTTTCTTCCAGGCGGCATCTGCATGATCCTGGACTTTAAAGGCACCATCGAAGGCTTCATTGATGGAGCTTAGATTATAAGCACAGACTGCCGATCCGAAAATGCTAGATCTATAAGGGAAAAAAATGATCATTTTAGTTAGATATTCTTTGTAGGTTAATCAAGAAAAGATGCAACTTACCCTGAGGTTCTGAATGTGGCATAGAGAATGGATTCGGATTCGGCGTATGTCATGCCTTGGATTTCATCGAAATAGTAAGGATATTCGCCAGGAAGCGAACAGTTCAGGCGTGCCTTAAGGAACGATGTCCAATTGTCCCTCAAAAGCTGACCACCGCCGCCAACATCATTTTTGCAGACCCTGGCAATTCTCGAATAGATCACCTGTAAAATACATACATAAAATCCATTAGTTTCTTAACGAATATTATATAATTTAAAGATAATCACTCACCTTGCCACAGCTCATGTGTTCGGCGGCCGATTCGCGAAGCAGAAAATAAACAAAGTTGCCAGCCTCGAAGCTTCCCACGAATTGGGCTCCACTTAGCCAGTTGTTATTATATTGCTTGGTGCGGAGGAAATGCTGAAAATTCGATGGTTAGAATCATTATAAAGTGTGCGCAGGGGTGTGGTTTTAATAGAGTTACTATAAAAGCTTTTTAAAATCTGTTTTATCTCACTAAAATTACTCATACGCCCTGTTGTCGAAGTTAATACGTTAAAAAGCTTCTTAAAAATCAATAAATGGAAACAGAAACCTACCTCATTTGACTGCAGTCCTGTTCGCAGGATGGCCACATCACTGCCAGAGAAATCAGTGGCTATGCCCACGAACAGCTGGCCATTGCCCTGAAGCAGACTGGTGCTATTCGCCTGCGGATGGAATGGACACTTGACCACGCCGCTGTCCACACCGGTGACGTTAAGGTTCTCCATCTGTAGATGAAAAAGAAAAAACCACCAAGCGGCGTCAGTTTGGCGACTCCAAAGACTTGGACGACGACCACTCACCTGGCGCCACGAACAGCTCGGCTGGAAGGCGTTCGTCCCACACGCGTACAGCTGGTTCTCACCATAGCTATGAAGCACGCGCACATAGTTGCGACACCATCGCTCCAACTGGCCTTTTGCCTGGCACAGGGCAATCTCCGATGGTGTGGCCCCCCAGCTGGACCGCTCCATTGGCTCCAGATCGAAAGACATACGGTACAGGGTGTCTCTGAAAAAAGGAAAACAAAATAACTCTAGTTTATTATATAATTTTCTTTCAGTGTAAGACTATTGAAAGGCTGCCGCTTGGCCAGCAATAACAGTTAGAGAGGCGGCCCACAATTGTTTACAAATAAGGCAGACTCCGGCTCCAGCTTCAGCTACCCCCCTGGCCAACAGCTGTCATAATTTTGAACTGGTTGGCCGCCAGTGCATTGAACTGCAAGGCAAACAGGTAACGAATCTTGGCCCCGGCACAGTGGTCGCCAATTGGTAGTTGGCCATTTGGAAAAGCTTGGAAAAGCTTAGAAAAATCAAACGATTGTGGGCGATCTTGAAGGCTGAGAAATTGGATTTGATAAAGATAAGATGTTAGTTAGAGGAAAATTAAGTACTTTTTGGCTTCTCTCCCTTTTTAATGGCTTAAATGGTCATATCCTTTCCGTTAAAAGAAGATTTCCAAAAAGGTACCACTGTACCTAGGTTTCTTTAGTAGTAATTCTAACACAACCACTGTGCTACGCGCATTTTGGCGAAACTAACACGAAGATCAATAGATCAAGTGCATTCGAATGCGCTAGAAGCAATTGCTAAATGTTTACATCTCGACTTGGACAGCGGCATTTTTCCAGCTAAGAGGTGGCAACTTGGCAGGGGGATTCGGTTTAGGATTGGAACGGAGAATAGAGAATGTAGAATGCCGCCGTGCTTGGGCTTGAGAAGGAATGCCGCCGACCAGACGTCGCCAATGAGCCGGCCGCAAAAAAGAGATCACTGCCCACAGTCAAGCCATCTAATGGTCACTGGCGGCTGTTAAGCGGCCTTAGGATATAAATTGAATGCGGACCTGGGCAAAGCCAAAGTACACTTGAAAAAATTCACAGAACGAAAGCTATATATATGAACTTTAAAATTTAACAAGATTTTTCTCTCTGCAGATCGTCAGCCAGCTCGCCCAATATCAATCATTTGGATTGCAGCTGCCGCAAGGCGCGTGGCACTTCGGCCGCCGTCCAGTTGCTGTAACACAGGTAAGCCTATATATATATATCGCTCAGGTGTAACTCGAGCTCCACGCGTTGCTTGTGCGTCTTAAGCGGTACGTGATGAGGTAATAAACACGCCAACATTTGCGAAAAACGCAGCTCAGCCAACGACTTCGCCCTTCCCAAACATTCGAAGTACGACAAGACCCTAAGAGCAGCTGTCAATATCTCTGGCGATCGGATATAGACGCAAAGGTGTATTCGAGGGTTTGGCAGATGCAAATGGTATATGGCTTCCATGGTTATTTTATGCCTAAATTATGGTTTTTTAATTAAGTGATAATTAATTGCTTTGTAGAGAAGTAGTTCATAACTTATAAGCAACATTTCCAAGTATTGCACTTTATTCCCTGTTAATAAAATAGTTGTATATGTTAATGTTAGCTAGAAAACTTGTCATAATAGAAAAACTCAACAAATCGTATAAGTTTATAGTCCCCTATAAGTCACCTGAAAGATTGCAACTCAATGGCCTTAGCGCCTGAAAAGCTCTTATATCAATCGATGGGTGGATCTCAAGTGGGGTGTGTTAGAAAGACTTCCAGTGAGGCGTTACCGGAAATCGATTAAACAACATACGTATATCCATGTGAAAATGACACAACAAACAACAACCCGAGGAATGTCAGTGAAAAAATGCAAAAAAAAAAAAGAAAGACGATAAACAACGAAAAAAGTAAAGGTAAGCATTTTACTGGCATGTCATGTGTAAATCTCGCCTAGACTTAACGGCTGCGAAAATTAATTACCGCCGATTGTGCTGGTCACAGTCTGAAGTTCTTGGCCAGGTAAGTACCCCGGCCAGTGTGTGATTACATTGGTCATGCCTACTTATACGAAAGCGTTGGAAATTTAACAAAACATTTGCAGTTTAGCTTAGTTAGTTACAGTGGGTATTGGTTCTAAAAATAAGTCTAAATTGCTTCTCAAAAATAAACAATAATTCAGAAGTGGTCTACGAAAATTCCCTGCCTTATAAGCTAAGCTTGAAAGGTTTTGGTATTATATTGATTAGAATTTTAAAGATGATTAAAGATTTTAAATTGAGATAAAATTACTAAACAATAATGATCAAAATGTGATCTTAACGTGACAAAATATATTCACATAAATTATATATGACAAATTCCCTGCAGTTTAAGTTTCAGATTGCTTACCACTTTATAGTGTACATATCTAAAACTTAAATTAGGAAAAACCTACTACGTGATAGTAATAGAAATATCATCTTAAAGTATTAAAAAATATATATTCTAAATATTCTAAAAATAAAGTATTCTAAAATTAAGAGCATCAAAAAGTTCTAACATTTAAAATATGCTTTTCTCACATTTTTTTTGACAAATAGAAGTTAAACTAAAAACAATTTTAAATAGGCATAACAAATTCCGAAACTTGCTGTTAATTTTAGCAACATTTCTATATGCACCGAACAAAAAGGAATACAATTTTTAAGAAAATAAATTTAAAATTTATATTCTGTTTTTTCTACCACTCTGCAAGTTCAATGTTCTGCTATTTTTTCCTATAGAAAACCCAACGAAAACTTCACAGCGAGCGATAAGCAACGGCCTTGTCAATTAGCATTGGCTTTCGAAAGCCTAGCCTCCCCGCACCCTTTAGTTTTGCAGTCATCATCAGCCAACCGCCTCACCTGATTTTATCTTTCGTTTCACCTGGCAGCAGCAGCGAAAATTCCGCTTAGGTGTGAAAAAACAGGCCGATACACATGTATCGCTTTTCTTTTCCCCCCATTTTGATTTTCTTTTTCTGTTAATTTCAGTTTTTGTTCTGTCCGTAATCTTGTTTGTTGTTTCGGTTTGTTTTGTTAGTTGTTTAATTTGTATTTGTCATTGTTCTTGTTGTGCCTTTTGCCTTTTTGCTATCTTAACAAAGCTCGGGCGTGCAAATATGCCAAGTTCGTACATGGCAAGAGTCAAATGTTTGCTCACTCGATCATCATCATAGAAAGAAAGTATCTGTATCTTCCCTAAGCTTGGCGGTGTCTCTTAGAAATTATCACAAGAATTTTGTATTGAACTTGAAAAGCACGTAGAGGGGGTTATGGTTCTGGAAATCATTTAGGCCAGAGTTTAGGCAAATTAGGATTACAGTTTGTTCTTCTATATAATATATTCTATATAATAAAATTCTCTTTAAAATAATTTATATTATTGGATTTAAAAAACTGCTTAAAAAGTTAACATGAAAACCGAAAAATGTTTAACAAAACCCATAAAAATTGGTTAAACTTTGAAGTTCGCCCTGACCCATTTGCACAACCGACATAGCCACATAACCCACCAAAATAATGATCTACAAATACAGATATATATATATATATATATCATATCGATATCGGTGAGTGTGTGCACCCCTTGAGCATTCGCATTTCGAATTTTTCGCACACCTTGCGCCCGCCGTCGACTTTTATTTGAACGACAAGCGGGACAAGCTGGAAAAGATAACAAAAAGGCCTCTTTGTTAGCCTCACAGTAGAGCAAGTGGAGTTGGGGAAGGCCAATACGGATACCAGACCATATTCACCTGGAGCTGAGACCGCGACTGGGGCTATTAAAAATGCAGTGTCGCCGCCTGTCGCCTATTGCCAGTTATTTTACTTGGGGAGTGCGTGGGCGTATTGTCTGCCGCTCCGGCGGCAAATCTGTCCGCTGTCCGGGCTTAAATGGGTTACTTGTAATTAAAATTGCCGTTGCACTGGCCGCCGCTAATCTTGGCTAAAACTGCAGCAATTACAGACAAACATCGATATATAAAAAAAAACTACGAAAATTTATCTAAAAACTTTTAAAGTAAGAAAACATTTTTCTGTAAATTATTTTAGTTAATTTTCGGAATAAACTTATATAATATGCGTTAAAAACCTTCCAGTTTTTCATTTAATGAGTTTTTACTGTACTTATTTCAGCGATCTGCCTACGCTACCGCATTCCTTGCTCTCAATCCGCGTTCGAATAGCTACGTGTCAGTCTGGAGTCTCCGCTCTACAGATTTGTTTTTTATTCTTTTTTTTAGAAATATGCAAAATGTTTGCCCAGCTTTCGCCCCTTCCTTCAAAAAGAGGTCTTGTCTTGATTAATTTCGTTTTCAATTTCGGAATCCGTGTGTGCTGCAGTAGCCGCCAAACTGACGTCGACTGTGACAGGTGGATTTTTGTAGTTTGTACTTCAGAGATTGTGTTGCAGGTAATTTGGCCATTTTGGGTGGTTCCCCAACCAACAAACAAGGTGATTTTTGGTTTATGATCTACTAATTTTTTTAGTTTAATAATTTCCCATGACATTTGTTTGTTTTTTATATCAAATTTCCAGCTTCGTTTGTAATCTCAAACCCGACATGCCCATTGAAATAAAATCCTTGACTAGGCAGACCTCCTAACTGGTGTAAGAAAACAATGGGCATGGGTTAATGCACAACATATGAAAATAATTTCCTTGTTTATATAACATTTCGTCTGGCCATATGCATAAACATTTCAAATGCTTCCCAGCAGGTCATTTGCATGCTCCATTTGCTACAGGCCAGCCGCTTAAGCCGACCCCTTAGGAAAATAATACCAAGATATAGTACTGGTAATATGGGAACTCTCGAAAAGGCGACCCAACGAAAGCGAAAACAAAATGCAATATTATTTTAATGCAGTCTATATCAAATTTCGGCCAGTTGCAGGGGACAACCGAAGACAATGCACTGTGAAAAATATATTTTAATATTAAAAAGTCTTTAGTTTCCTGGAAATTCCCATAAAAAAGATATCTTTTTGATCTTGATAATCTATGTTTTTATCATTCTTAATTAAATTTCTCTCAGTGCATGCTATCCCCCTCCTCTATCTCCTGTTCATGACAGAAAATTACGCGATGGTTACCAACGAACAGCCAACCCAAGTTGCCTCGTCACTCGTCATGGGACACGGACAAACAGCTCAAGGAGTACCATATCCATGCCCAATTCCAGTACCGATTCCATTGCCCATGCCACTCTCGATTCCCGTTCCCATTTCCAATCCCATTCCCATTTTCCAGAGCCCGTCAACAGGCAGCCGAACTGGCAGTAATCCGATCTTGCAGTCGTGTCAAGTGTGCTGCAGTTCAGATACAAGAAGCGGAGGCACTCACCAGCCAACCAGCACATCTGCACTCGTCAGATACTAAATACATATAGAGCATGTATTACCAACACTATCAAACTGCTTGGCAATTGCCCATCTTAACCACAGAAATCATAAAAAACGATTCGTACAACTAGTTTAGATAGGTTCGGCCGGATTGCCACAATTAAAATGCGGTCGGCGATTAGAGATGGTTTACGTTGCGGCAACTCTGAGGGTCATACGGTTGCTTTCGACTTGCGGGTCTTCAAAGGGAGCTCTATGTTTTATATATATATTTGTTTTTATTTTCAAAGAAGAAGCCTTATCGAAACCATTTTAACAAGGATGATTGCTAACCTTAGGTGGTTAGTAGAGATTAGAACGGGGAGTTGGGAAAACCGCTAGGTAGCTGTACTTATCTTGTACTACAAGCAAGCGAAACACGCAATCAGCTAAAAGCTAAAGCTAAAGAAACATTTTGATTTAAGATTGTCTTGATTTTGAAGTGCATATTAAGCGATAGTAATGAAAAATAACTAATATTAATATTTAATAAACTTATTTTAAGAAATTAGAATAGTCCCTTGCGTTAAATCCAAACTTTATCTGCTTTTCTTTAACAACTATTTAAACTTATTAAACAATAAGCTCCTTTATAACAAACTTGTCAAGCTAACTGATAGATATTGACTACATTTTATTACCCATATTTCTAATCAAATGCCACTAACTTTCACAAAATAAAAGTTTATCTTTCATCGGACAGCTCAAAAGCCTTAAGCACAGTCTTTGAGGTAAAAAGTAAAAAAGAAATCCCCGAAGCTAGTGGCATCTAAAAACCCGTCTAGTCCCTTTGATTAGTTGGCTTTATCAACTAAGCCCACGCGCATTATAAAAATAAATTACGTTTTATGTGGTTAATAAAGCCCACTTGCCTATCTGGCCGCCTACTTAACAGGCAGCAACATAATTCCCTATATGGAGCAACGTCATGCCCTTCTCCTAGCAAACGCTTTTCATATCTGGCCACTCTCTTATCATTTGGCCATAATTCAGAGAAGTTGGTAAATGAAAAAGTGTAAAAAAAGGGTAGTGTATAGTTAAGATCGTAGTGAAAATCTTATAAAGAATATAAAGAAACTGAAAACTGAAAAAAGTCTGACAAATGATTGACGACAATGAAGCATGATAAACGACTTCCCTTGGTCAGCAATGGGTTAAGGGGCTGTCTCTAGTGTATTGGTAGGTAGGTTTATCAACATGCGTGTGTGTGTGTGTATCTTATCGGGTTTTCCACCGGAGAGGTGTCGCATCTATATATCTATGGCAGAAGGCAGAAACAAATAAACTTCAAGAACCGAGTTCTCAGCGCGTAAATGAAAAGCAAACTACAAGATACGCGTACTTAAATTGCTCAACAAATAAATGGAGTACCCCCGTACTTCTCTCTCTCTCTCGCGGCCCTGCAATATTTGGTTACCTTTTCGGTTGATTTTTTCCCTTTTTCCTCTTCATGTTTTTTATTCTTATTTTTACACTCAATTATCTTTATTTATTCCCTTGCCCACAGCAGGTACTCGAGATAAGTTCTCTTTTTTTGAGGTTTTTTCCTTCGAGCTTTGCTGATATGTTTAAGACTTTTTGGTTTTCGAGTGCGTGCACTTTCATTTTTCAACAATTCTTTATACATTTATCGCTTTTCAACTTGCGTAATATGCCAAAAACCAGAAGAAGACCGTTATCAGTACGCAATGCATCTGTTTATTCTCTACGTATCGTTAAGTTTTACGTAATGCCTTACGCTGATAACCCAGAGCCAACAAAGTGCTTAACGTAGATTTCGGGGGTGTTTTCCCTTTCCTTGTCGTCGTCGTTATCGCTATCAATGTTCAAAATAATGACCCACTTATCGGTGCCGACTAATTAAAAAGTGACTCTTAGAAACGGTTGTATCTTAGGGATTTTTATGTGAAAAACTAAAACAAAACAGTCATAATGACTAGGTACACGGCTTAAGCGTGACTCAATTGACCGGAAACAAAATCAATAATAACTATACTAATAATAGGCTACTGGGTTTTACCTGGCGCCGACTATCACTTGGTTCCTGGCCACATCGAACAGCATTTCCGAATACCAACTCGTTTCGGGATCGTAAAATCGTTTCGCCGTCGACATTAAATCTGAAAATAAGAATAATAATTTTAAGTTGGGGATGTATAGGATATTCCGTCATAATTAGATCATAACTTAAGTCATCCAGGGATCTGTAACTCCATTAGAAAACCATATAACTCATTAACCAAAAAAGGTTAGACCATAATGACTAACACAGCCATTTCCCTTAAGGATTTTCCCTTCCCTCTGATTCACAAAGAAAATATTAACTTTGCCATATTTAAGAGCTCTCACACTTTTCATGGATAAACAAAAAGTTTCCGTTGAATTTTTAATATTTAACTTAAGGTGAAGAAAAAACGCTAAACAAAAATTAAAATCATTGTCAACACAAAAACGTTGAGCTGAGTTCGCATTTTAAAGCGGACTTCGAGATAAATTCCATTGCAAAAAACCAGAAACAAATATTTAAACAAAATGCAAAACACGAAGCTTTTTTTCTGATTAAAAGCCACAGATACACGGATGTATTGGGGTGTCATAAAAGCTGAGGGAATTCTCTTTTAAATCAAGATCATATTGTTGACATGCCGGCCAAACCAACAGGTGGGCAGATGGGTGGTTAATGGCACCTGTTGATTGCACAATCCATCGAGTGCAGACTCTCGGAACCACTTAGAACTTTGACAGACATCAACCCAATTTACAATTGCCCGGTTTGAAGTGGCTAGCTTGATTGATTGCCTTGCAATTGACACAGTTTTTGGGTGTAAATTTTGATAATTTCCAAGTAAAACTTACCTTGATATGAGATGTATCGCGAATCGTTTTCCAGCAACTCTACATTCGATTGCGTCGTAGACTGCGGGCTTTGTAGGGTTAAGGGTGATAGCAGAATTAAAAGCCATAGTTGGCAGAGCATTTTTGGTAGTTTTAGGATTAACATGCTGAAAAAAAAGAAAATATTGTTGTAGTGACAGTTTTTTAAAGAAAAATCATTAAAAGTTTTAATTTAATTTGTTCTTTCACTTTTACGTTATAAGTTTACGTTATTTTAGTAGCATTTAAAAAAGTTTAGCAGGCTTTAACTTTTTAGTATTCTTTCTAAGAATGATTTAAAAAACTACAAATATTTCCATTTGACTATGTAAGCCATAATTGATTAATTGAAGTGTTTTAATGTCTTAAAAAATATTTTTATATTAAAAAACTAAATGAAATCTCAGAGCTCCAACAAAATCAGATAGTTTCAGTTAAAATCAAATCAAAATATAAATTTTTGATTACTTTAATTTTAAACTAATTAACACCACCTAAAAACCTGCTAAATTTCAATCTCCCTCTCAGTATCAAGACTACATGTCTGTTGTAAAATTTTTACACTTCCTCAAAAAATATTACAAAAAATGTAAACAGCTAAAAAAAAGGCCGATTACAGATGATATAGCCGATACTTACTTCATTTATTGTCACGTAGCGTGCAAAAGCAAAGATTAAAACTTATTCCATTCAACTTTTGCGGTTGAACAGATTGTAAGAAACTGTTGGTGGATTGTATAATATATGGGCATGTGCTTGATAAGCAAGGGGAATCGATTTAAGCGCGTGTTTCTTATTCTTCAGATGATCAATTCCAATGATCACGGATCTTCACTATTCACACACTCACAATTCTATTACTTTTGAATTTTCAATTCAATTTTGTTTCATATTTTTTTCAGAAATTTTCAGAAGAAAGGCGAAATGGCTTCCCCTTGAGTTTGGGTTTAAAAACATTGACAAAAGACACAGATAGACACCAGCAACAACAACACAGTCGACGAATATAGCGAGACGGGTTTTTTTCTTGTGCCTTAATTTCCTACTCTTATGATTTTCCAGATACGAGTAAATAAGACGCGCATGCTCGACCGATCGCCGAAGTTAACCGCGCAAAGAGTCGCAAGAAACTGAATTGTGGAGCGCATTTGGTTTTCAAGTCAGCCGATATTGCGCCAAAGAGAGGTGATGGAGAGAGCGAATGAAATGAAAACAAAAACGTAAAAACGAAGCCCGAACGTGAAAACAAACAACAAACGTTGAAGCAAAGCAAAGAGCGTGGAACAGGCCAAAACTCCGACGCGCAAACATGCTGCCCACGTCGCAGCCGCAGCGCAGCCAACGAAGATAACCGGCCTCGACTTCGGCTCAGCTTCGGCTGGGCTTCGAGCATGCACTGAGAAAAATGTTACTAGGGATTAAAAAGTAGAAAACAAGGCTTACAAAATTTTGAAATTATTTTTGCTTAAAAATTCTTTTCTTAAATATTCGATATATTTTTATTACAGAAATAATTCTTTATATTTTCTTATAATCTCCTAAAGAACATGTAACTATTTTTTCTTAGTGTCTTCTTGGGAGTTAAGAGGCGCGGTTACGGCAGCCGCAACGACCGTGGCAGCAGCAACTGGGCAGGGCGCTCATATATCATGCGACAACGACAACGAGAACGACTCTTCAGAATCTCCGGGATCGGGATCTTCAGATCATGGAAGAGGCAGAACCAACTGAAGGGCGGGACGGGCACTTGCTGTGCCTCGATTTGGTAGCCTGACAAATTGACATTAGTATTGTCGACGTCGCGGTTCGAGGACACGTGATATATTCCTCCACCAGACGAGAGACCAACCGATTCTATCTTTTTTGCTTTCCAAGATTTTCAGTTCATCAGCAGAAAAAAATTGATGAGAGAATCATAGAAATGGCGCCAAAATAAATGTCTGCAATCTGATGGTGTCTGGAATGATTATTATTTATTTAAGATTTTAAAAGTATATAGAACTTAGTCGTTTAGAAAATGAAAGACTTTATTATATAGCTTAATCTAAAGGCAAGTATAGATTCCCAACTAATAATCATCATTTTCTAGAAATAATTACTTACATATAAATTTTATACTGTAATTTAAACTGCAAGATAAGAAACTTTTTAGAACTTTTATAACTCATCTTTAAACCAATACCATATAGTCTTGTTTAAGAAACAACAAGAGATAAAACACTTCTTCCAGGTATTAGTATTCCTTATTCAACGGATTCGTAATGTTTTTTAGTGTTCTTACCAAGGTTTCCCTTTTGTTCATGATGTTTTAACTGCTGGAACAGCATCCCAAGCTGAGCTATTCACATCATTGTCAACCTTGACTCGAGAGTGAGTGTGAAAACACAGCTGGCCTCGAGAACAAATACAAGACCATCAAATGGGCCGTCTCGTCGATGGTGCAGTAACCTCAACTTAAATGCAACTGCAACACGATCCTTCGATTTTGTTTATGCCACAGCACGAACCCGAGGGATATACACAAACATCAGGCCAGGCTGAACGATCCCATTCGATTCGATCCCCGGGAGTTAAGTGTGGGCAGACAACGATCGACATTAGCATAGGCTCAAAACATTGCCAGCCCATGACAATTTACGGCTACCTACGAACCATTGTCGGTTTTGGTTTCTTGTCTTGACCAAGAAGATACAGTGGCCAAATATGCTAATTCCTGTTGGTATCATAGTGGAAACCCATTTTCCCGACGACCCCTGATAATTTACAGCTTAACTTTCCGGCCGACAATTGTCATGTTAATGTGCTAGACAGGTAGGTCTAAGTATATTTTCTTTTCTCATTAAAATATATCTCGTTTCTGGCCAGCTACTGTGAGTCACTTGCCAAAACAACGGAAGTGTCCTTATCGAAGGACAGGGCCAAATCCGTGTATCGTCAAACTTCCTTTTCCGGCACAGTTTATGGTTTTCACCTGTCAATATTGTTATTAACCTACAAAGGGTTTCATTTAGCTGACTTTTGGGCTAAGATAGGGAGGTTTTTCGTTTGGGGGAGATTGACAGTCAGTTGGTTCAGTTGGGTCGATTGTCAATATTTGCATTTGTCATTTGTTTGAACCAAAAAATGAATTATTATGGCTTTGACAGGAGATAAAGAAAGGGTGAGCAGTTATATGAGTGCACAGAGAGAAATGGGTTCCTTTTTGGCTAAGAACAAGGTGTATTATTTTGAAGGCATATTAAAGGTTTTCGTTAAAAAACTGATTTTATAAAAAATAAATGATGTATCAATTTGGAAGTTAATAAGGTTATTTAAACTACAAAAAGTTTACTAAACTTAAATAACATTTAAAAAAAAAATATATAATTATTTTTTACTGTATTAAGTATGTAGTTTTTACCCAAACATTTCATTTATAGTTTTGGCTGCCAACTCCACATTCAATGTTTATGAATTATTCAACTGTTATCAAAATATCTAACGACAGTTAGAATCACGAAGAAGAAACCGTCATTGTTCCCGAAAATACAATTAATTTGTTCAATAACTATAGTAATCTGATCTATATCAAGATAAAGTTATACCTAAATGAAAATCTTTGTTGCACATTTGGAAAGTGAAAATAAATAAAACTTTTACAGCGTTAAATGCTCCGCAGGAAGTCAAGACTTTCCAGCACTAAAAACCCAATAAATTCATAAAAATAAAAAAAAAAAAACTGAAAAATAAAACTGATTCAGAGATCGGAGGAATATATAGTCCAACTGCGAATGTCTGTCTGGACCAATCAAGAGACCCCTCTGATGATCATCGATTGGGCATGCAAATTGAAAAGACCTTAAAATAGAATTGAAGCCAATGAAAGGAGGGGAATCGAATCAAAGTGCGAGTGCATTTCGATTTCGATTTCCAGTTTGATTGGGGACACAAGGCGAGCCATAAATTGTGGCTCGTTGGCTAACAATTAAGATGCGTTGGTGTTGCACAGTTAATTTCCAAGTGATTAAAAACTGTCTGTCTGTCAGAGGGGGCGAGGTAGTGAAAGATGAAAAACTGAATACTAAACAACTTTCCAGCTATAAAACTAGAAATCTCTTTTATTGGCCTTCAAGAAAATGCCATAAAATATTACACTACAAAAATATAAATTCTAACACAATAAAACAGAATTCAATTACGCGACCCTCACGAATTGAAATAGAAAATAAAATCGACTACCGGCTGAGCTTATCAATAGACCAAAAAACTATTATAAATATTAAGGTTCAAGCACAAAACAAGCTATATTTTATGAAATTTATGACATCGCACGAGCCGATAAGCAAAGGGTCAAAGAAATATTCCAACAGACAGCGGCATCTTTGGAAACCGTTTGATTTAAACACGAATTAGGTACATTTTTCATTTGGAAATTGTGTAAATTATTTCACATCGATACAAATAATGTGTCGAAAATAAATAAATAAACCAAATATGGTAATGAGCCGCAGCCAAGTGATCGAAATAACCATCTTAAAAGCTCAGTCATTAATTTGTGATTTTTTGTTGGTCGTTTAACTTGGAAATTAGGCGAATAAATAAAGGAGAAGTTCAGAGGGGGGATTCAGATATATCATATATATATTGTTATATATTTTGAAAGTATTTTTAAAGATATTTATATAGTAACCATATATCTTTCACTCTTAAATCGCTCATGAAAAATTAAAAATAAATCAAATTAAAGCCTTAAATTAATCTGGAATACCCCTATTAATCTCGAAAGCCCAACAATTTCCATATTAAACAGCTTAAGCCGTGATTTCATTTAGATCTCGATTTATTGCAATAAAACAAATTTATTATAATCTTTGTGTGTAACGCTTTTGACCAACTCCGTCGTCTGCCAAAAGGAAATTAATAAGTTTTAACGCAGTTCCTACTGGATTGGTAGCAGAAGGGGGAGGCTTGGGGGAGGTGATCTATGCAAATGTTTCGCTTTAGCATTTGTAATTTATGAAAAACATTCAATTCGACGAATTCCACCTGCTGTGGCTCTTAATGATCTCAGTTAGGAAATTATATATTCCGATCATGCTGCGAGCCAAAAGAAAAACATTTCGGACACTTTGGAGCGGTGGAAACACTCCCCCCCCAAAAATGGAAATATATTTCGCCTAGATTTATTACACAAATGATCCATGAATGATTTTTATGTGCGTTTGGTTTGGTTTTATGTTTTTTTATGTTTCTCTCTTTTGACTTTGGCGATTTTATAAATAAGTGGAAAAAATTTAGAGCGAGCTGTCTGCCATATTTGGTTGCAAATCAATTTACAACTTTTGCTCGAAAAGTGATCAAAAATGTTTTCTCGTCTCTGCAGCTTCGACTCCGGCTCGGAACGTTCTTTATTTAGACAGATTAATGAGTCGCCCTGGTCGAGCTGTCTGGTGTCATTTTATGCCTCTCAGTTGTCAAATTAAGGCCTATGCAATATGTGTTTATTGTACTTATGTTTTAAGTGTATAAAGTGTAGAAAAAACTGCAAATGTCGCGTTGTCTTAATGGTCTCACTTCAGCCACAAACTGACAGCGTTACAATGGAAATTAGCTGGAAATTTGTATCTCTATTTAAGTGCGAATTAAATGATCTCAAGTGCTGAATGAGGCAATCGTCTATGAAAACACCAGGCCATCCATGTAAAAATATTTATCTTTGATTCTCAAGTAATGGCTGGCCATATAAAGAATGACATTTAATAGAACTTCAATTATTTATATTCTTTTTTAGCTTTTCTAAGTGGGTGTATCTGGGTTTTGTTTTTAAGGCCTAAGAGCCGGATATTGTTTTAAGAAAATATAAGTGTAAGATGGAAATAATTTTAAATACACATCTATATTTACTTAAAAACTAAACTATCATCTTTATAAATTGCCTATAATAAATCGAATTCTATAATTGCTAAGAATTTGCTGATATTTCCATTGCAGCTTCCAAGTTAATTACTTATTTCCTTTAGTCAAACTCAGCAAGTTCATTAATCAAGAAAGTTTTACACATTTTATAACCATTGGAAAGTAAATTCAAATCCAGTTCAAGCCACATTCTAAAGAAAGTGTTTAATTTTAGTGTACTAGCCAGCTCCCACTTTCTGGGGACATTTCATTTGGCTGCCCGCTTAATAGATTTGTGCCAGATTTTGGCATTTGGCCAGACCAACCGGTTAAACAGTAGCTCTGACTTTTACATGGGTCTTTTGTACTTCCCATTTATGGTTTAGTTGTAAAAAGAAAATACGACTTGAAAGTAAGTTCTGTAAAGGTTTTGCCCTTTTTTCTGAACGAAAACCAAAGCCCACACACGCTGTAGCTCTTTATTTTGGGGCTTTGTTTTTCCACTTACAAGTAAAACGAAATTAGAGAAATTTTCTGAAGAGCCATACAAATGTGGCAAAGGCACATAAGAAAAATAAAAAGTGTTAAAGTGGTAAAAGTCCAGCACAAATCAGAGATTTTACAATGGCCACGAGGCAAGCCAAAAAAGAGTTTCTTGATCAGGAGGTGTGGCTAAATTGACTTATCCAGAAGCCAAAGAAGTTTATAGCGAAAATTTACATAAATTTGTGTATTTAACACACCTTGAACTCACCTTTGAATGTCTTCATTTTGGCTTAATTTTCCCTACTGTGGTGGGTGTCGCACTCCAAAAAAAAATGATATTTATGTGCGACAGTGAAAGCCATAGAAATATGAATCGCCCTCCCTCTCCTGCGACCATATAAATCAACCTGAATGTCCCCTGCCATACAAATGCACACCCTTTTTTATGTTTTTTTTTATATATTTTTTAATTTTTGGGTTTCCGCTTGATGTAGTTGTTTTCGTTGGTTTGGTGTGCTGGGCTATTGTTGGACTGCCCAAAAGGATTAAATGATCATAAATGGCACCCAAGACGCGTGTGGTCTTTTGTGGGTTCGGTTGTGTGAAGTCAGAGTGAAGGGGAACTGGTTTCATAAGGCAAGTTCATGCGTAATTCCATTGAATTTAACTGGGAAAGTTCAAGGAACACTTGAGACAAGTTGGCTTTTTAAAAAAGAGTTATGATTTTTAGGGGAAAAGGCGATACATTTTTTCCATAAATGCAGTGATTTTTAAAGCAATTATTAAAGGAAATATAAATAAATCAACTTTTTTAATCTTTCTATACATTTTGCAACCAAAACCTATATATAAATGCAATTAAAAACCCATTTATATAAGACTTCTCCCCTGTGATGTCAGCCAATTCCAACTAACTCACAATAGTCATTGAATAGTGAAAAATTCCAATAAACTCGAGGAATTTGTACTGCCATTTAGCATAGTGACAGAGTCAACAACAAAAGGCCATTAAAAATAATTTGAATAAATCAAGGGAGCGATAGGGGAGGGGTGAAAAATTAATGTTTAGCCACTGCAAATGTCCAGCCGTGAATAAGGCAATAACAAATCTCCCAATAGAATATTTCATTTACACGAACACACGATCAAAAATCAATGGGGGCTACGAGGCACCTCCAACCGGAGGTGAGGATAATTTATTAATGTGATTAGCATTGCCATTGTAAACTCCAGCAAAGATCTTTGTTTTGGCCAGATGAAATCATAATAGTGGCTAACACGAAGGTGTGAAGAAGCATAAAAAGATGTTAGAGGAAAAATATGAATCCATTAAGTTACATTCAGATTCAGGGGTGTCCAAGCAAATGACAAGTCTTGGTCTAAGGCAAATAGATTTGACAATAGACCTCCCAAAAGTCTTACTTAAATATTGAACTAATTTATTATAGTATTTTTTAATTTTGATTTAAGAAACAAGACCTTGAATTAGCTTCTACCTTATAAGAAAATTAGATAGACTTGAGGTTCAAACTTGTTTTTTTGTAGAATACAGATCAGTCTCAGGTCATTTTATGTCAAACTCACTTACCTAATTTAAAAACAAAACTTACTCGGCGGTAAACTAAATTCATAGGCTGGAAAAAAAAAACAAGATGTCCGTGGATCAGGCCATCTCCAATATTCCCGATGAGATCATGAACTACCTGATGGATCAGCGGAAGCGGGAACGGGACGCAGTTCGCGAGAAGGAGGTTATCAAGGAGCGCATAAAAAAGTTGCAAGATATCCTGAATCTATTAGAAGATCGCGAAGGTGGACTCACTTGCACCATATCTAGTGGCAACATCTATCAGCAGAGTACCGTACAAAAGGTGAGGGACAGAGTGTCCGCCAACATATCGATCAACACGATACACCTTCTCGAGGCCCACGACAGACTGCTAATAATACAGGAGAACTTGAATCGGGATTACGAAATGGTCTGCGATAATGTCAACAGAATCGGAACAGCCAATTAAATTCTTAGAATATGATTTATACAAAAAGTATATATTTAAATTGTAATATCTTAAATCTTACATATTAAGAAAAAATTTTCAAAATTATAGTTTGATAGTAAATAATTCCGAATAAATCACTACAATCCACATCGAGATCTAGTCTAGAAATAAGACATAATCTTAGAGTTTAAATCTCATTACCTTTTTAATAACCGTCATTTTCCACTCCTCTGACCTCATGTTTTCCAATTAAATCACGTAATGTTTCCCAGGGAAGTCGAGGAGTTTAGCCAGTCACTGATCGAGTTGATAGAGCCGACGACAGGGCTTAAAGACAATGGGGAGTCAAATGGCAGTTTTCAACTTGAGCGACAACATGGATCATTAAAGGCATTAGTGTCAGCCAGAAGTCAGCCCAGCCAAAGCAGCCGAATAAAATTTCAACTGAATTTTTATAGTTGAATTTTCCCTCTGATGTAAATCAGTGGCGTACAAGCGGGGAGGCCTGAGGTGGGCAGCAGGTACAGGTGGAGCAGAGGCGTAGCCGAGTCAACTTGTCATAATTAAATGTGTAATATTTGTCTTCGCTTTCAACACCTTTCCCTGTTGTTCCACGAACTCTGCCACTGCCCTACTCTCAGCTCATCTCCCTTTTTTTTAACGCCTCCACAGATGAGGTTTTTGTTGTTTAACGAGGCATGGACTTTGAAAGGGTTTCAACTTTTCACAAAACTTAAATTTTGTTTAACATTATTTATTAAATGATTTTCTAAAATATCACATTTTCAAACTAATGCAAAGACATCTTAATATTAAAACATTGAAAATAAAAGTTCAACCTAGTTGGGGGCTTTATCCCGCCTGTAATGGGGGATACACATGTAACACGATAGGCGTAAATTGGAAAAATCATTGGCATTTCATCAGTTTTAAGACTCTATTTCTTTTTTTTTTTATGTATGTATATATTTCTGAAAACTGGTTCCGCTTAAGACGTTTCAAAAGCGAAAAGTGCGTCGTCTCAGGCTAAAAACCCCCTCAACATCCCCCTTTTGGAGCCATTGTTGTTCGTGTTTTGTTCGACTTTCTTTTGTGTTGGAGTTTGCTTTATTATTTGGCTGCATTTTGCTTTGCACTGTGCTTCGTTGCTGCCATTGTTGTTGTTGGTGTTCTGCAGATGAGGTGACTTGTTGTTGCTGTGTCGGCACGTGCGTTAAAAGCGTGCCCATGTGGAAATTTACTCTTGGCGATCGTTACCAAGATGGTTAGAGGTATAATTAAAAATTATGTTAGTTATGAGATAACACAATCTTGCGCTCTTTAATTACCATTTCTTTTAATTACAGAGGTATCTTAATTTTCTTGGGTTTCACGACATTAAAAAATATATTTATTTATATAATTATTCCTTTAAGGATATATGTCTTAAAAATCATATTTAATACAAAAATAGGACATTTGACGAAATTTAAACAAATATTTAGAAAAAAAGTAATTATCTTTATAAAAAATAAAAGTTTTTCCCAAATCTTTTGATTTCAATATCCCTACCTATAGTTACTATTGATCACCTCAGATTTGCCATTGGGTATTACAGTTAAATGCCCAGCATTGATTGTTTTGTTACGGGGCTTTGTAATCTTTTGAACATTTTTCTCTATCTCTCTCTTTCTTATTTAATAATCCATCAATTTAAGTTACGAAAAATGAAGTAATTTTTGGTGGGACTGCTGATTTGTTTGGCATTTACTGCGGCGGAGACGAAATCGGTGGCGACCCCTTGTGACTCGTGCTCAATGTTGTTAACAAGTCTGATTAATGTCCCCGATTAGCATAAGCAAACATTAAGCAAATTATGTACGGAGTACATATACATACGGGTTCGTTTTGCCGCCCGATTTCGTGATTCAATATTAGATTTCTTGATTTGCTGCCTATTATTTTACTTGTGGTCTGTTTTTTTCCCATCTTTTTTTGCGCTAATCAGTAAACAGCCAAGCGCCGAACGAAATTTAGGAACCGCCAGCAGGCCCAAAAAGTCAAATAAGTGCTGGAAAAACTCCAACACCAATAACGGCTGTAAACAACCTTTAACGTTAATTAAAAGTGTACACAGAAATTTGCATTCACGACAAAATTGGTTAACGAAACATTTATACAGTGCAATGTCAATAAGGTGGACAAAAGAAATTAAGGCGTAATTGTTTTTGATTACTTGATTTTTAATTAGATTTACATTTCAGCTATTATAAATTATTTATTTGAGGTTGGATGGATTTTTGCAGAATATTCTTTTTTAATATATTAATATATATGTATGTATTTTCTTATAGTGAGTTTCCCCTGTACCCGTAGCATAGACATAAAAAATGAGCTAGGCTGGCCAGCTCGCCTTTTTGATTGAGTTTGTCGGCGGATTTATGCGCTGACCGCTGCTGGCGGCGATTTGGCGGTTTTAGCTGTTTTTGTTTTTGTCTGTTTTGGCGTGTTGAAGCTGAGCGCCGTCCCAACTGTCAGCCGTGATAAATGCCGCTGGAAATCGGTATTCTGTATTGGCCGCATAAATAATTCGGATGTAATTGGAAAAAGCCGCTGTGATTATTTTGACATTTGTGCCAGCTTGCAGGTGAATAATTTCTGCATACGCCAGTTTCAAAAACTTTTCAATTAACATTTGTTTTTTTTTCGTATTTTCCCATGATGACTGTGACCTTTCCGTGGATAATTGCATAGGCAATTAGGTTTTTTTTATGATTGAAAAGCTTTTAGAAGCTTGCTGATAAGATTATTGAATTAATTGACTAATTTTAATTCTACATTTGCATTGCTTACGTTACTTAATGGAAGTCGTTTTCTTATAAGCCATGTTTTAGAATTCATTAAGCTCATATTAGCTCATTGAAAGGCGGTTATTGTTAATTGCAGAACTTGTAAATATGAAAATATGCAACTAAAGCTTTAAGCCTGTTTGATATTGAGAAGATTATAAATACTTTAAGATACAAAATTGATTTATAGCCATATTACAAATATTTCTTCCCCTCAGACTTATAGTAAAAACACATCCAAAAGTATTTTCAAGCCAAAAACAGAGTTATTATACCACAAAACATATTAATTAACCCACTAGACGACACCTTTTCCATTTCGCACATTAAAGTTGGCCATATATCATATGAGTTACTACCTATAAGGAAGTTGGTTTCCCACTCAAAAGTCAAGTTCAATGGCAAGTAGCAGTTGCCAGACATTCGTTATGCTGTCACTCACCTTTCTCTACCGATTCATTCATTCATTAGTAAAAATTAAATATCTTTTTTTTTGTAGTTTCGATTTGGCTATGGAGCCATGGAATTCCCCGCAAATTTTTGTTGGCTGTAACGAACTGGAACCTAAATCAAATGTAAAACTGCTTGATTAATGGCATTTACCAACTGGTGAGCCATATTTACGATAATGATTGTTCAACCGATTGCGGGTCGAGAATAGTTAAATAGGCAGACTGTTTGCCGGGCTATGGGGCATTAATCAAAAGCTTACGAAATCGAAACAATAAAACTAAAAATCGAAAGAGGCCAAAAAGAGCGGTTTCATCTTCCAATGGAAAACCAAGGCGGCACGTTCTGCTCGTGCGACACTTGCCAAGCGCCCCCATATATAGAGGGGATAGCTTATATTTATGCCCATTATATTATAGGCACGATCCCACTCACATTATAATGATTGCCATGATACCGCAGAGGTGGCATTTTGATATGCGATGTGCTGCCAACGCCAATGACGCCCCCATATCGCTCTCAGACCTGGCCTAATCTTTTTTTTTTTCTGCTCTTTTGGCTTAGTCTATGGATATATGGCTTTGTCTTAACTCTTCGATTCCGCATCGAAATCGAAGTCCACAACTTTTCACATCGCTCCCTCCGGTGGCGTTTTTCGTGCTAAGCGTGCGTCTGTGCTCATTAATAAAACCACTGCGATGCGATCCTATCCCATCTGATATACTATACTATATATATATATATCCATTCACAGAGGTATATTTTTGTATATAGCCTTTTGCACGGTGGGGCCAATGAACTGTAAAAGTGCACCCAAGTTGCTTTGCTTTGGAAATCCGATCTTAAATGTCTACATAAATTCTCTTACAGCTAATGAAAGTGAAAACCCAGCTAGGAAAACAGCTGATCTTGTTACCAAATTGTGAAATGCTGTTTAATAGAATTTCTAGACTGGCCAGACAGAAATAGTGTAGGTAAACATATGGGTTAACATGTTTGTTTAGTAAGCGAAGGAATTTTCTAAGCCGAAATGAGTCTGGAAAGGCATTTGATTTCCACATTTTACTTCAGTTAAAAATAATTATTTTGATCAAAAGCCAGGAATCTCATTTTAGGAAAGGTTTATTTCATTTTGAATAATTTTACTTTTAATTTTAAATTATTTTAAGTACAAACATTAACAAAAAAGATACAAAAAAACTTGGAAAGTTGTAAATCATTAAAAAATAAAATCCATTGACCATAAATCAACCAATTTAGTTATTAATTGCTATTTGCTTCCAGGAACACACAAAAATGTAAATCAACAGCTCTCGAGTTTCATCGAATTTCCATTAGTTATGGATCCCACTGTGCCGCCCGCACAAAGACTTTAAAAAAGTAAGCCCCAACCTGAGGCCGCTGCGTTGGTGTTGCAGTTTTTTTTGTTATTCCTCGATTTGGATTCGAGTTTGAGTTAAAGTTTGAGTTTCAGTTAAAGAGATGGAGATGAAGCCAAAGCTGGAGGTGCAGTTGCAGTTGCAGTTTCGGTGCAGTTGGCCTGGCCAGCGATTTTAAACGGATTTGTACGGCAAGCGTCGTGGCTTTACTGTACAAATTTCCTAAAGGGTTTTCGTTTTTGTCTCTGGCTGCACTGTGCCGTTGCGTGGGCCAAAACCATTGAGCAGCGTCTTTTTTATCTTTTATTTTTTATTTCGATTTGAGCCGGCTGCTGCCTGTTGTGGCCATAAATTTGTTGGTTGAGGTTTTTTCTTATATATTTTTTTTTTTGTGGCTGCCGTGAAAGTTGCGTAAATCAGCGTGAAGTAGAAGAAAAGTTCAATAGTATTGAAAATAATTGTAGAAAGTTTTTATTTTTTTATTCGCCCCCA